TAGTGAATCAGAAATCTATTTCTTTCTGCATCTCCAGGTTATTTGGCGTTACAGGAAACTGTGCTGCCTGCAGTAAGCTCATACCTGCTTTTGAGATGGTGATGAGAGCGAAGGACAATGTTTATCACCTGGACTGTTTTGCATGTCAGCTTTGTAATCAGAGGTAAGAGAATTTCTTGGGTCTGCTCCATATGCTAACTGCTAGCTCGTCACTGGTATGGGCATACATTCCAAAGAGGAAACACCTGGCAAGACCTGGATGCTATTCCTGGGACTCATATAGAACATCTTTCATGACCTTGGCCAGAAAACTTTTTTTGTCTCTAATCCCGCATCAATAAAAAAGAATAATGTTACTTCCTCTCCTTCAAAGGGCTGTCTGTCAGGTTTAATTAATTAATATTTATAAAGGTCTTTGAGATCCTTTTCTGCAGAAGAGCATAACAGTACCATTTGTCATTATTGCATTAATTTCACTTTAATTCTTCATTTTTATCTCATGTATTTCTTTTAAAGTACACATTGTTTCTTCCTGTTGCCAGAACTGTAATAATTTAAATTTAAAAGGTGTTGTTCCCACCATTTCCTCTGTAGCAGCATTGGACCTCTTACAGTCCTATTTTTATTTCCATATCCAAACCATAGATTATAAAAATCCCAAGGATCCAAACCTGACACCCTGTTCTGAAGCATCACCCATATGGCGCAGTTGGAGAGCGAATGTCAAAAATGGTAAATTGTAACATCTGATTTCCTCAGAGGTGAATAGAGCCAAGTTTATACCAGCTACACTCCGAGTGTAGCTGGAGATTTCACCGGGAGCCCCATTTCTGACTCCACCAGGAATGATAGCAGCTTTGCCAGGGACCTCTATGAGGTCTAGGAAGTGAGAGAGCCAATTATGTCCACTCCTTAATGTCTCCATTATTTTCAGTTAGTTTTCAGCTATTACATGGTCCTATTTAGCGTTTTATAGCATTCATATTATCTTTCATTTCTTCCTTTGGGAAGAAACTCAAGATATACATTTTTAGGGAAGCAATGAAAAATTAGGAAGATTATAGTCTAACATGACAAAGCTAGACACAGCTCTAAATAAGCTTTCCTAACTCACTTTGTCCTACAATGTATTATTTTTTAACATTGTAGTCATTTAAAAATCAAACATCCCTAAAGAACCATAAAATGTACAGCTGCTAATAAGTGTAGCACACTACAATTACGCTCTTTAAAAAAAGCCAAATTGACCTTTTTCATCATGTTGCATGGGAAATTAAAATACCAGGCAAGTAATAACCACTGCTTAAACTATATAATAATGCAAAGTAATTATAGGTTCTAATGCTATTTAAAGTCCTATATCAATTTTGTCTTGCCACAGAACTGAGAAGCTGAGCAAGGCAGGCAGAGGCTCCCACAGTACCCATTTAAGAGGCACACACAGAGTGTCCTGGATTTCGTTTCCTAAACCCTTCACATCCTGGTTTTTTCCAAACCACAGTTCTTGTATCATTATTAAAGCCCCTAATATATTTCTGTTGTTCGCTTCATTTATTACATGCCATAATGGGGCTGCATATCTTTAGTGTTGGTTATGCACAATTAGCACTTAGTTATTGTCTTGTCACTTCAGCCCATACAAGACAAACTCCTTTAATGTAAGAAGTCAGCTAATCTTCATCAGTCAAGCAAAGCAGACAATGTTTGTTAGCCGGAGTGCAAAAAATTTTCATCATAGTTAACACTCTTGGATCTGAGGAAGTGAACTTTCTTTTTATTCTCTCCCCCCACACCCAGCAAAAAAAAAAAAAAAAAAAAAAAAAAGAAAACCCAGCTCTTATGAATATTTTTAATATTCCTCTTTTACTGTTACAACTGCAAACTAATGTGCAATTTCACTTTGCAGCTAACACACATCGTGGTGTTCCCTGGGGCCGCTGATCCCCCTGGAAAAGTGGTTAGATGCTTCTGAAATGGAGCTTAACTGGGTTATTTAATAATTCTCAGCCTTTTTATTCCTCAGACTTCAATTTAATCTTTTATTTGATTTTTACTTTGCATGTATTTTGGGTAAAGGGTTGCTGAAATAGTCTTACAGGTGTCTTAGGCTGAGAACAAAAGAATGAATTTTCCTGAAATACAGTCTAGTTCATCTAGTGAAAACAGGGAGTGGTTCCAGGAGTTTCAAAAAATTTCAGAAATTCTCAAAAAGTGACCCTAATTCTGATTCTATTGCAATAGCTCTCATGGAGCCTAATAAAGCAGACTGCTTGTAGGGTTCCTTTCTTCCTCACAATTTGGGACTAGTGGCCCTCTGAAGAATTAATTTTGTTGTTTTTTACAAAAAATCCTATTTCATAGATGCTCCAACATAGCTCTTCTGTGGTTCCTATGGCAAAGCATCCTATTGACTACAGTCTCTCAATAATAGCTTCAAATCTTCTGGTTTTTGTTACTTGAATAACAATAAACCTCCACATTGTTAGGCACCTGGCCCATCAGCAGCTTGGGCATTTTTCAGATCTACTATGAAACCTTTTTTGTTCTCTTTTTGTGACAGAAAAATCTTGTCATTACCATTTCATTAATAATTTCTGTTGTCCTTTAAGATCATTTTTTCTTCCTCTGCTCAAGCTAATCAAAACCATACAGCAGATTCTGAATGAGGATGTGTTTATAAGTTTGCAGTTTAATTGTTTTAAGTTTCTGCTGTTCCTTTGTATACAAAATAATGTTATTGAGGGGCTTTAGATTTGCTTTTTCCTTTTACTCCTGCCTCTAATTCCACCAATATGTAATTTATTTATTGAAGAGAACATTTTTATTCACAAACAGATCAAATATATCAAAAAATCACCAATGAGTGTGTCAAGGCCCACCAGCTATTGCAGGACTTGTTTAGCCTTATTCCCCAGTTTCACATTTTCTTCCCCCATTAAATTTAAAACCTTTGGGTCCTTCTCTACAGTAGTTTTGCAGAGTATGTAATGCTCTCTGATTCTGTGTTTCACTTTCAGTTACCATCGACCATTCAGGTTTTTTCCTAACAGAATGCATGCAATGTTCATGAGAACACAGAATTGTTGCTTCAGATTGCACTACTTTGTCTTTGCCAACACTGAATTTTTTTCTGATGTTCTGGGCCCTTGCTCCTTCCATCTCCTTCTGCTTTTCAAGCCAGGTAATATTTATATTAGTACACATCTCACTGCTCCTTGGGGCAGCCCATCCTTTGGTCTTGCTATTGCACGACTCTCATATTCCTACCCTTTAAACAGCTGAGCCCAGAGAGATGGCTGCCCTTCTTTGCCTAATGCTCTTTGTCACAATTCAGTGATTTTTCTGTTTTTATGGACAACTTCACTGCTTGTTTTATTATTTTTGAGTACCTACAACTCACCATCCAGTGCAAGCCACGGTGTGGATGGTAATTAGGCTCCCTTCACTTAAGGGGACTTTTGTTCAAACATGCCAGTGCCTTTATTGGCCTCCTGAATGTGACTTTTTCAGAGTGAGAAGAAAAAGGCATTTTCTCACACACTGTACTCCAGGAAGACAGACTGTGGACACAGGCCTGAAAGAGAGCTCCTGAGCCACTAAGCCTGGTCCCCTGGTGCCAAACAGGCACTGTCTCCTATTTTCCCTTTCATAAAGCTATTCAGCTCCAGGATCTAATTGCTCCAGCCAGACAGTTTGTGAGATATTTCCCCCACATTTTTCTTGATACTGATGCTTAAAGCTGTAGCAATTTTTGTGAATATTAAGCTCTGCTCCTAGCCTAAAGGTTTTAGCATCCTCTTATCTCTCATGTCTCTGTCCAGCTTACTCCTAATTTGAAGTTTTTCCATCGCCTAAGTACCTGCAGAGCTTAGTGACAGTCAGCTTAATGGTGTGAGAGTGTGCCCCTTTCTTCTCTGTAAACACATTTTACTTCTCCTCAGAAGCCCTTCACCCCACGTTAACAATAACCTCAATATACCTAATTTCTGCAGAAAATTTAAAGGGGGGGGGGGGGAAGGAAACCACTGGAAAAATAAACTTGTAAACAGACACTGCCTTTCACACTTTGTCAGGCTGCATGTGTGTGACTAACAAAATGGAGTGGAAAATCTTGCAAGTGGGCTCAGCTGTGTCTTTGGCACTTTTGACACTTTTGACTACAGCGATGATGTCAACCTGCCTTCGGCTTTCCCACTTCCCCGAGTCTGTGTGTCCTTCCTCTCACTCTGCCGGCATCTTTAGCGCCTTGTTCCCAGCTCCTGTGATATTTTCTCCCTGCCGTTTGAAGTCAGCTCAGAGTATGGCTTAAAACCCCCATCTGCTATCACTGAGAGGTGTTTAAATAGCCCGTTCTACCCTTCTATCTGAAATTGCCTTTATTTTAATAGAAACTGGACTAAAAATGGTTACATACTCATTGAAATTGCTGTCCTGATGTAGCTGTAAACACTTACCTCCAGTATAAACTGTAAAATGCCCTCACAATGCTGCCTTTGTTCTCTGTCAAGCAGGGGAGAGGGAATACAATGCCAGGGACATCCTTATTTCAAACACCAATATTAGATTTTTGCATGAGTGGTCATTTTATAAATTCTGCAGGCCTGAGTACTGCTTATCTTTATTGTATGTCTCAAAATTTAGAATACAAATTAACATATTGTCCACACCTGCTTTTTATAAAACACTACATGAAAAGCACACCAAGGTGAGGTTTGCCATTTGAAGCTGAACTGGGATTCTGTGTCTGTGTATTCTGGTGAAAATGTACAACTTCAGGCACAGCTCCCACTTTCCAACCTTTGAAATGGACATTTTGACAGAAGCCCAGACTTAATAAAGCACAGGTGTGGACTGATGAACTGTGGTGTAAAGAGTGGCTTTGTTCTCTTAGTGATGCACATAGATGAACGTTGATGTGAGTTGCATTGGAAGCTCAACATTTAAAAACAGAGGAAAGGGGATAAGCAGAGCCCAAGTCATTGATTGCAATAAGCAGAGGGGAAGGGTGTGGGTGTGGTAAGTCTGAACTGTCTCAATCCTCAGGAAATCAAATAAATGTTTCCAGATTTTGTTTCTTTCTAGAGCCACAAAGACCTGGCTTTACCAGAGGAGGCACACACGAAGCCATCTTCCTCCACAGCAATATTTCTCTTGCTTTCTTAAGTAGTCTTCAGTACCTTGACATGTCCTGTGATTCAGAAAAGATGACAGACAGCAGTGAGATCTCCTTAGATATCTGTACTTAACAACGAAAGAGCTACTTCTCAAAATAGAAGTTTTATTCTTCTTGTGATTAGTCTAGGCACACCTTCCCTTCCAAACAAGGTGATAACAGAGGTCATTTTGTAATATAAATGGCCTTCTTTTTGCCAGTGTAAAATATGACAGGGGTTCTAGAATGTAGGTTAATTATAATGGTCATTCTACTAATGTCACAGTCATGTCAAAAGTACTATTATGAATTTATGGTGCTCAGTCCAATCTGGCATGATAATGCAGCCTATTGTATATTCTTTCCTGTTCATCTTGCATGCCTATTAAAAAAATTGGGTGAGGGTTTTAGGGAAGGCTGAAGACTACCATCTGCCTGCTAGAAGAGTAATAATCTTGCCTAATTATACACTCCTAACACAGTGCCATCTTAATATGCTCCTCGACTCCGTTTAATATGTGTGCCCAAATTGTGCCCTGATTTACATCCTATGCCAATTCCATAAAAAAAGTGGGAGGCTAAGCTTCAATTTACCCTCCCATTTTAAAGCTGAGCCAGGTTTAAATTTTGCCGTGTGCAAACCCAATGTGTAGTGGTTACAGATCTTTCACTTCAGGAGAGGCTAAATCTGGTTTTGAGAGTCAAATAAGGTTGAAAGTGTGAATGGCCAAAATTCCTCATACTTCATCTGTCCCATTGTACCTGGGAACCAGCATGCCAGGATTATAGGTTTTTCACCTTGTGGTTACCTCTTTGACACTTAATGAGTGCACAATTCACACATTTAACTCCCAGGGGCCGACACAAGCCAAATATGCTTGTCACCAAGCTTGCGTGATATGAAAACTGATGCAGAATTTGCACCCTAAGCATCAGGAGCACCAGGTTTCCCCCAGGGCACAGGGGACCGTCCAGAGGATGCCTTCCCATGCAGGCAAACCCCAACCCCAACAGGTTATCAAAGGGACAGGCCACTAGCAGCCTCTCCCCAGGACAGCTGCACACTGGGAACACAAGGGATCTGTGGAACCGTGTGTGTGTTTGAAGCCACTGATGCATAAAGCTGTCCCATGCCATGCAGGCACAGGTAGAGCACTTCTGGCTCCACATATCAACATTGCTAAAGCAAAAGGCATTGACACTTTTTATTGGGAAAGGCATCCTGATACTCCCGTGTAGCCCATGCAGTTTAATTCAAACTGCTTCGCTCCTCTGAGGGCTGAGAAATAAAATCCTCTAGCCAGGACTTTGCTGCAAATGATGTTGCATGGAGCCACACGTGTTAAGTATTGCCATGCAAGCGAATTGCTCTTCAGCAGTGTGTTTTTTTGTCTACTAAATGCTTTAAAAAATTTAGTTTGCTAAGATCTGTCTTACCCTGGAACAAAAGGAATACACACAGCTGAGCAATATTCTTGGTTCAGACTTTGTGTTTCCTGCTGGGTGTAGAGGTGGTTTCATCTCCCACTGATGCACTGGCAGATTTTCTTTGGTTTTGGTTGATTTTAAATAAGACTTCTTTGGGAAAAACAAGCATTTCATGTTGGCACTAGTTACAACTCTTTCACCTAATCTTGTAAGGTGCACAAAAGAATTTTTCTCAGCATTGCTGTCAATGGACAAAAATACAAAAGATGGAAACTAGAAAAAAACACCAAAGAACAACTTTTATGTATGAATTCTTCATTTAAACATAGCTACTCAAAATCATTTTGTCTTGTTAATAGCCTAGTATACTAGGATTGGGGTGGGAAGAATAATAGGAACCTTTACAAAAGAGTGTTAACCATAAATAAAGATTTTGGGATCCTCCCATAATCTCTATTTTCAATCATCATCAGCAGCAGGCAGTAATCCTACAGAAAAAAAAAATCCACAAATAAACAAACCAATTTTCCTTTAAGAGCAAAGCTAATTCTTTTCAATCCACTTTTTTATTACACTATTTTCCCTCTATCTATTTAGCTAGCATAAGGATAAATTTCCAAAGCTACCCAGTTGGAAAATAAATGGGTTCACTGTTTGTCTAGCATTCCAATCTTCACAAATGTAAATCAGTCCAACTGCTACTCATTTATACCTCCAACTTCACAAAACATTAAAGGACTGCTTTCCATACACAATTTAATCTGTAACAATTCACCAAGATTTCTGCTTGAACATCATTAGAAATTGACTATCTGATAAAGACAGAACACGATCAGGGTCATGTGGGTCAACCTGTGTCGTTTATGGAGTTTTACTGGGTCAACTCCAGCAGGCACCACTATTTGAAGGTTAAATTGTTACAATTAAATACATATCCAGCTATTCCCATAGTTACTCTGCTGTTAAATCTACCGTAAACAACACAAGCATTTATATCTGACCCTAATTGTGTCCAAGATGTCACCATTTGGAAATTATATTAAAAAAAGGACATTATAATCTGTTACACATTAAACAATACTTCATGTACTGAGATCCATTGTAGAGCAGCAATCCATAATTAGCTGGTAGAAGCTGGTATCATTTATTCACATCAGTGTTAGGGGGTTCATTTAGGTTACTTTCTTTCATTTTAATTGCAATAAGGCAAGCAGTGCCTCCCAATATATTTCATAGCTGGAGAGTTCACTACAAACAAAGCCATGTAACCCTGCCAAGGCAGTCACTAGGGAAACTTTCTTCTGCATTGTCCCCATTCACTTCTCCCCAAGCATCTTTCCAGAAGAATGGCTTTGTCAAGGGGAAGAAGGACTTCAGGGTGTGTCAGGGAAGAACCCTCTTAAATTCAAGCATATATTTTTAGCTGGGAAATCCTACTTTACTGGAAGTTTGAAGTCAGCCAGCCAGGAGCATCAACATTTCGTGATTGTCCTGCTCATCAGAGAAAAGCAAAGGAAATCTCTCAGTGGTGTTTTGCAGCAAACAGATCATTCTGATGCACATAATACTGTAACAAGGTAGTTGCATTGATACCATGAGAGAGAGAGAGTAGTTAGCTGAGTAACTAAATTTGTAATCAACTCCTATAGGAAAAAAGGGAAAAGGCTTTTTTTTTTTCTGCATGCCTGCGTGTCTCTGGTTTACATATGCTTTACAGTGAGTGTAAAGTCGTGTGTGTGCTAGAAGCAGTTCTCAGAATCACCATCTTAAATCAAATCTAGTGAAATATCCAACTGGAACAAAACAAAAAATTCTTACTAGGACATGAGGCAAATGCAAGATATCTCAGACAAGCTTTCCTGTGGGTGCTTTGCTATACTTTATCTTCCTTCTGGTTTGCTGGACATTTACTTTTCACTTAGCGCAGCAGCCTGAGATATTTATTGTGTTTTTAGCTATGTGCCAGTGACCTGATCCAGGACTCCCACAGCCCACGGTGGGCTTTGAATGAGGGCTTTGGCTGGGGAAGCAAAAGTGCCTGAATGCACTAGATTTTATTGAAAACACAGGATTAATTGTGGCAGCAGGGCAATTCCTCTGCTGGGCTTTCTCACACACACAGGTGGGTGCTGTCCAGCCAACACTTATTCTACAACCCTCACCTGTAAGCCTATATCCCATCATTTACCCTCAAACTCTCTTTTTCTTTTCTCTTTATTATTTTAATTTCAGATTTTGTGTTGGAGACAAATTTTTCCTGAAGAACAACATGATTCTGTGCCAGACAGATTATGAAGAGGGTTTAATGAAAGAAGGTTATGCACCCCAGGTTCGCTGATCGGATGCCACATCATTAAGAATAAAAAGCACTATGTTCTTTTATCTTTTTTGCTCAACATGTATATAAGAAATGACACAGGAACCTACTGAATAGCATAGATATAGGGAGACAGAATGGTTGCGTGAAATAAAAGGCGGACTGCATCTGTATGTAGTGAAAATTGCTCCAGTTCAGAGTTGAATGTTAATTAAAAAGGTACTGTATATACAGCTGGATTCTTTTTGCTTGCTCTTGGGATTTTCAGTTTGTTTGGGTTTTTTTTTGTTTGTTTCTTTTTGTGTCATTTGGCATGAGATGTTTATTTTGGACTATTGTACATAATGTATTGTAATATTTGAAGCACAAATGTAATACAGTTTTATTGTGTTACCATTTGTGTTCCTGTTTGCTTCTTTGTATTGTTGCATTTAGTACAATCAGTGTCTAAACTTACTGTATATTTATGCTTTCTGTATCTACCAGCTATTTTAAATGAGCTGTATCTTTCTAGTAAAAAGCATTAAAGAGCAAATCCCAACCATTATGCTACACTTAGAGCTTAAGAATACTGTTTACATTAAAACTATTAAGAAAACTAATAACTAGCAGCACCTGCTGCTAATGATGCTATGGTTAAGGATCTATCAGCACTTCTCTTATAAGCCTCTATTTTTCAGGGGTTAAGCATCTGCTGTTTAATTGCATGGATTTTCCTCAAAGAGCACTTTTATTTTACTACAAAATTTTGAAAAGTAAATCTGACTGGTTTGAGCTATATTATAAAAGGTGCAAAAGTTAATGATTTTGGGTGCTGCTTTTGTGCCCCTTAGGCATTCCAAATGCCTGGATTTGATTTTTAATTTAGCTGGAGAAATTAAGCCCTAATGCAAACCAGTGCCTCTGGGCATCTTATTTTTTATATATATATATATACATATATATATATAAATATATATGTTATTTTTCTCAAATCATTAATTTGAGGGAGGGGAGGCAAGGGAGAAGATTTTTCTTTATATGCATTTTTTTTTTTTTTTTTAATTTGAGGGGTCTCTCTCCCTCATCTCCCTCTCTCTCTCTTTCCCTTTTTTTTTTTTTTT